ACTGTATTGTCATACTATATCTTAGATATTTTTATTTAACTGTATTTGAAGTGTACTAAGTGTTATGTTCGTAACCTGAATTTAAATCAGGCTTTGTAATTATTTGAGTGACCGAGATCATGTAAGTGTATTTCAAGTGTACTATGTATTAATTTATTGAGCTACTTAAATCAGGTTTTAAAATGCTTTGACTGATAGAGATCATGCAATGTTATTATTTGTGTATTGATTGTTATGAACCTGTCTGAGGACCACAGATGGAAACTAGCTATTAGCTATAATCTGGCATATTGCATCTCTTCTCTTTGCTGAGATTAATGTTTTTGTATGCATGATCCTTCTATAAATGAAAAAATAAATAAAAATGAACTCAAGTATAAATACATTTCTAAATAACTCTACTTTAATCAGGTTATGCTATTCTATATTTGTGTACTTGTACTATTTACTCATTAATTTGATAAATCGATGTGTTATCATGGGCTTAACTACCCAGCAGTATAAGTAATTGTAATACCACCTTTACCTAGCTCAACATGAAATATATGAACACATTAATGCATCTAAAATGATAATACCACAATGTAATATAGCCTATATTTAATTCTTAATTGAGTACTGTTGCATGCTGGACTTTTACTTGTTACAGTATTTTAACACTGTACTATGGCTAGTTTTACTTCCCGTGTTGCAGATTGTATTTTCTGTTGTTCGGGATGCAACACGGTGCAGTTACTTGGTATAGAATTATCAGCTGGATCAAAGTTAATTCAATATATATAATAATTCATATTCTTCAGCTGGGTATTTTTCTGTATATGGTGTTTCAAATGTTAGCTATTCCTATATTCGATCCGATATAATTGGTCATTATCTTACCTCATAGGGCCATCGCCCTAATGTGGATCTTCATAGTTGAACATCTGTCGCTCACACACACACACACACACACACACACACACACACACACACACACACACACACACACACACACACACACACTGCCTAGAACACTGTACTGTTATCATGAAATCATAAACCAACAATGTGTGGGTTTCTCTTGTTCTCTTTATCAAGATTGAATTGTAATACTTTTTATGATTAGGGGCATGTCATCCAGTATTCTCTTTTTTACATGAGCTTTTATTCATTTTGATATGCATTTAGTAAAACAAGCTCCTTACAGTATTGAAAGGTAGGAAACACGTTATAACGTCATGTGTTTTAAACATTTAAATAAAACACCAGAACCACAAATCCGTCGCCTCAACAAACCGAAGATGCTCTCCACTTTTTAAATCTATTTGCACAGCAGAAGTGAACGGCACTGCAGCAACGATAATCAAATGATGTAGTGCCATTACTAAACTACACAAAGAGATGCTATTGTCCTGCAGAGATGGTCCGATGTGATTAGAACACACACACACACACACACACACACACACACACACACACACACACCCTGGAAACCCTATGTCAGAATTGCAACCAAGGCAAACACAAGGCGTCATCATTATGGTGTTATTTAATATATCCTCCTGAGTCAATATATTCTAGAGTCAGCAGTAAAAGAGTAAAACTTTCCTTATTTTTTTTTTTTTACTGTAGAAAAATCCACTTAAATTGAACTGAGAAATAAGGAATTAGTTCGCCTGCGGGAGTTTGCAGGATGTCACAATATTTTTTACATTGCATTTAGCTGACGCTTTTATCCAAAGCGACTTACAGTAAGTGCGTTCGACCAAGAAGATACAAACTTGAAGAAAACAGAATCATATAAGTACATCAGGTTTCATAGAGCCAAACATTTCAAGTGCTACTCAACTGGCTTTAGATAAGCCAGTCCTTTATTAGTATATAAGTGCTTTGTTAGTAATTCTATCGCTCGAAGTGGAGTCGAAAGAGATGAGTTTTCAGTCTGCGCCGGAAGGTCCGGCAGTGGCTCAGTCAGTAGGGGCTTGGACTGGGAGCCGTAGGGTCGCCGGTTCAAGTCCCCGGCCAAACCTAAAATATGGACTGTGGACTGCTACTTGGAGAGGTCCCAGCTCACCTCCTGCCCTGCCGTGGTGCCCTTGAGCAAAGCACCGGGCATCCCCCTTCCCCCCTCACTCCCATTGTTCCCCGGGCGCTGTACAATAGCTGCCCTCTGCTCCTAGTACCAGACTCCTAGTACTAGGATGGGTTAAAAGCAGAGAACACATTTCACTGTGTGTGCTGTGTGTGTGACCATTAAAGAGGGTTTCATCCCTCCTAATTCTAAAAGGTGTGTAAGCTTTCTGCTGTCCTGATGTCAATGGGGAGCTCATTCCACCATCTTGGAGCCAGGACAGCAAACCCACGTGTTTTTGCTGATGGGAACTTGGGTCCCCCTCGCAGCGAGGGTGCAGCGAGCTGTTTGGCTGATGCAGAGAGGAGTGCACGTGCTGGGGTGTACGGTTTAACCATGTCCTGGATGTAGGAAGGGCCAGATCCATTCGCAGCATGGTACGCAAGTACCATTGTCTTGAAGTGGATTCTAGCAGTTACCGGAAGCCAGTGAAGGGAGCGGAGGAGCGGCGTGGTGTGGGAACATTTAGGAAGGTTGAAGACCAGACGAGCCGCTGCATTCTGGATGAGCTGCAGAGGTCGGATGGCACAAGCAGGTAGACCAGCCAGGAGGGAGTTGCAGTAGTCTAGGCGTGAGATGACGAGAGCCTGGACCAGAAGTTGAGTCGCTTTCATCTTCCTGATGTTGTAAAGCGTGTATCTGCAGCAGCGGGTTGTAGGGATGTTTGCAGTGAAGGACAGGTTGTTATCTAGGGTCACACCCAGATTCCTTGCAGTCTGAGTCGGGATATGCACAGCTTGATCCACATAAGTGTGTTTGGTATTTTCACTCTCAATGAAGTCATTTTGAAAGCGTTTCATTATGTTACATTACATTGCATTTAGCTGACGCTTTTATCCAAAGCGACTTACAATAAGTACATTCGACCAGGAAGACACAACCTTGAAGAAAACAGAATCTCTCTCTTTTCCTCCGTACCCAAATCTTTTAAAAACGGGGGTACAACGAGCGGATCCAGATTCCATCTGAACTGACGTCAAATCGTCAGCGGACCCACAGAAAGTTGCTATCAGAAACAATGCCTGACGTGTTTTGGACGTAATCTCGTCTTTGTTTACATTAGCAAGCCTCGCTAACACTCAGAGCTAACCTGTACTGGAGAGAGCATGTGTTTAAAAAGCAGGAAATAAAAAAGGAACTCACCTTGTGATAAACCCGCAAGAGAAAAAGCATTTGAGCTCCATACTGTTTCAGAAATAATCCTTGACGTGGTTTAGAACAGGATGGCGTTTTATCACAGCAGAATTTTACTTTTTCTCTGGTAGAATTCTGATCAGGCATTAGCTCCGCCTCCTCTTCTTCTTTTTTTTCAAGCTAAGGACCCAAAATCCGTGTTTCTCTAATGGCGCATTTCCACCGCAGGCCTCGCTCGACTTAGTACGGTTTGGTTAGGCCTTGTAAGGCCCGGCTCACTTTAATGCTGCGCTTCCATTACAGTTTAGGAACTGGGGCAGTTACTATAGTAACGCAGTGTAGGCGGAGCCGTGACGTCATCTTCAGAAAAACAACACAGCCGTTAGCTGTTAGCACTCAGAGCTCACAGCTCCTCATATCTGTTCAGAAACTAGACAGAAGTTAAACAAGTACAAACCACAGACTGCCTGTGTCATGGAGAATACAGTCGCTGGTTTATTTATGTCTGTATAGGCCGTTGTTGTGAGTGTGGACGGTCGGAGCATATAACGTCAGCTTAGCCAAGCTCCATTTAGAAAACAAACATTTTAAAAGGGTTTTTCGCCTGCCGTCTGTCTGCAGACTTGTCAAAGCATTAATTCATGGTTTTTACTAACCGGTATCAGTATGTTGTTACTTCGACATCATTTTGAAACGTGTATTACATTTAAATCACAGTCAAATATGTTCATCGTGTTGTAGTTGTAGCCCCCTTGCCAGCGATTCTCTCTCTAGTTTAGCATACTCAGCCCGACTCAGCCTGGTTCTTGGCCCGCTTGTTGGGCCCGATAGAACCACGATTTTTTCGGGCCAGAAAAAAGGTGAAAAAGTAGCCCCGGGCCAGAACTAGGCCAAGTGGAAACGCAACCAAAAACGGGCCCGGCACGACACGGCACGCTTAAACCCGAGCTCTGCGCCATTACAGGGCTTCAAAAGAGGGGTATGAGCAGTATGAGGGATGGCTACAATGGGTGATCTGTTTGGTATTGGTAATTTGAAAAAAAAACTTCACAGATATGTTTTGTATAGGTATGGCCATACGATATATGTTTCAAATATAGCATGATAGGTCCACTTTAAATAAAAAAGAAATACTAAATTACAAAATGATGTCCTGCATTTAATATCTTATTTAAGTACAAGTACAAATGTATTGGTATTCCACTGCTGTAAATGTCTCCTGCGCACCACCACATACATGCATTAACCACTCACACACACACACACACACACACACACACACACACACACACACACACACACACACACACACACACACACACACACACACACACACGCACACAGTCTGAGTCGTGTGTTGCACCACAATGGCCATGTTGAACTTTCTGCAGAGTGCAAGGCCTGCTTAGTGAGTGGGAGAAAGATGACGTCTGCAAACAAAAGGCCCCATTCACACAGACTCTTAAGGAAGCAATGATTCCCTCTCTCTCACACACACACACACACACACACACACACACACACACACACACACCGGCTCACCCCACCACAGCATACACCATGTCACAATATTATTCAATTAATCCAGAGAGTGGAGGCTGCCTGCAAAGCGCCTTGTAATCGCATAAAGACGCCCGTTGAGCAACTATATTGCAGCGTCACATTTCTCACTATTTAAGGTAAGAGATTAGAGTCGGTCTCTATTTGCATTGCTGCTATAACGGGGCTAGGGTTTGTTCAGAGACAAGTTGGGTTGGTTCATCAGGTTTTGGTTCACGTGTGGCTCTCTAGCAAGGATCAGGTTCAACTTGTTTCTTGTGGTGAGGAATCGGCTGATCCTCAGAGCGGCAAGTGATCCGTATCAGTTTGGGAGACTTTTGAGGTAAGAGAGAGACGGTTTCAGGAACATCTTGGTTCAAGTGTCAGTGAATTGAAGTAGTGGTGCTAATGTGAGGATTCATGTCACTCTGCTGTGGCTAATCTTAGGATTAAGCTGTGATTTGGGTGTGTTTGTAAAGGCAGTGTGATTATGGCAGTGGAGTGTGTGGAAGGTTAAGGATTTGTATGCTCAACAAAGTTCTGTGTCAATTGATGAAATAATGTAAACTCAAAAACCTAATCAAAAGGCAACATGTAAAACTTGCTGAAATAATCATTTTTTACTATAAAAGTGTTTACATTTTTAAGCATACATGTCTTTAAAAATCATACAAATAAATATGAAGTTGAGGTTGTGTTAGCTGCATTTTCTCTTATCTGAAACTTGCTAATTTGTATATAAATTGTAGTAAAAAATAATCAGAAAATCACAATGGCTTGCTACTACTTTGACTTGGTGTAGGCTAACTCTCCATTCAAATCAATACCTAACTGTAGAGAAACACGTGTTTTAAAAAAACGTTATTTTAAGTCGTGAATGGAGGCAGAGTAAAGTTTGTTCCCCGCCTGTAACTCCAGGTGATGTAGATTTTCACACGGATGCATGTTCATAGCAGAGCAGTGGAATAATGGACATGCGTTTTTAACCCAATGCAGGTGACCTCACGATACCAAGTCACATCCTCCCCTGTTTTCTTGTTAAATTGAGAACTAATGAACAACTATTTGTTTAATGATTGTTGAAGCAAACAGACAAGAAATGACTGGTTTTCAAACATAGGTCATTTGATAGCAACTGATATGTTAAAGTAGCATCATTTGCAATTATAGTATTATTGATGGAAAAGTGAGAGAAACTGCAATTGTATCCACTTGAATGTATAATTCCTGCATTCAACTCTCATTTGCCGAAATATTAGATTCCTCACAATAACAGAAATATACAATTTAAAACAACAACACAGTTTCATTACGCGTCAAAAAGGGTTTCTATTAAACTTGTGAAGACGGTTTTCTGTATAAAGTTTGATTTACATCTCAGATTGATTCTTGAGTGCCTGATTTACAAACTGGGTGTGTGGCATTCAAAGTGGACTCTTTGTTTGCCTTGCAGGGAAGGTCCAACAAGAGAGATAACACTATTGGCATGAAAGCTTCAAGTGTTTCCTGCATTTCACCCACATAAGTGAGAACATGAGGATATCTTGACCTGCTCTTTTATAAATGCCTTTCCAAGTGCAAAACAGACTAGCTGTAATTAGTGTGCAGAATTAATGAAAATGAATAAGCATTAAAAGCTGCTTTTGAGTCCTTCTACCGTTTCCTAATTACATTACATGTAACTTGTTAGCAGTGTTGGGTAACGTTACAGTAACGTAACTACTTTTGCCGGGTAAAAAGTAGTGTAACGCGCTACTACAGAACATTTGGTAACGTAGTTTCTTCTTCAATTCGCCGCAACGTTACTTTTCCCAGGGACGAGTGACAGTGACACTGCCTACTCAGCTGTGTGCTTACACACAGGGGCGCCGCCAGGGATTCTGAGCCCCATGGAAATATATCACATTGGGCCCCACCACCAGGCCCAGGCCACGCAAACCAAGCACAATTGCTGTAACCACACCTCCAGAACCCAACCCACTCATTTATGCTTTAAATAACTCTACCTGTTCAGGCTTGCATCTATCTTGTAGTCCAATACTAACTGCACAATATTTACTGACACTGAGCTGTGAAAATATAACACTGTGCTGCAGTAGAATTCACTATTTGATATAAGACTAACATTCCTGACAATAGACCTCAATAGTCATCTTTTATGGTGGACATGCCTTTTTAATAACATTTTTAATGGAACATTCATAAATCAAAATAATATAACTTAAACACACATGACCACTTAAATTAAAATAAAGTGAACATTAACACCAATATTATCATTTATAAAATGCTATCACAAAAAAAATAACATAAGCAGCAGATTTTCTAATTAAATATACCAACTACAAAATAAGCGGGTATTAAAGTGTAAATGGACAACAAAACGTAAATGGAAATGAAAAGGCCTGATGGTGGTGCTAAATCAGAGCAAAACTGGGTGACATACTGTCGCTCTCTCTTGTCTTTCTCTCCTTTCTTTTCTTTTTTGAAAGCCTGACTTTGTTAGTCGTTGAGACATCCCTGGCTGCCTCACATGCTCTCACTCTGCTAGAAAATGCGGTGCTGCCGGTGCTGCACAGCGTTTGGAGGCAGGACCAAACCATTACATGTAAATAGAGGGGGGTGTACAGAGGCTTTGGATAATTAACTTTTCGAACAAAAAAAGTGAAATTAATCGTAAGTTTCGTGAGTACATCATCAATATAATGTTATATGAATGTTAATGATTGATGAAAGGTTACTTAAACATTTTTTCTTAATGTTCTACAATTTTTGGGGCCCCTGTCAGTCACGGGCCCTTAGAATCGTCCTAACTTTTCACCCCCTTACGGCGCCCCTGCTTACGCATTAGGCACGAGCTCTCATTCCACACTTCGAACTTGTTGAAACTAAGGGGGGAAATGTGAGTGTAAGGTGTACGTTGTGCCCTAGCCAGAAACTTGTGTCCACTGCCGTTAACTCCACTGCCGTTAACTCCACTGCCAACCCCACCAAGCATTTGAAAGGAAAACATGCTAGCAGGAAGCTAGTAGCTCAAGATCCCCGGGGAAATGATGATATTTCGAGTCCCAGCCTGTTTAGTAGCCTATTGATATGATTTGCACTAGCTTTGCACCTATTTTGGGGCTAGCCTGTAACCCTTAATGATTATGATGTTATATTGATATTGTTTGATATTATTGTTTAGTGGTGGTGTTGACGCCTATAGCCCAATATTTTGTTAAGTGCTCTGTGGCATTTTTTATAATAAAGAGCACAAAAGACATCTGTTATGTCCTCCATAGTAGAACTTTATGTAAGCCTACACATTTAGGAACAGAGATGGGGTTCTGCCCAAAGTCGAGCAACATAAAAGTAACGAGTAACGTACAAAGTTACTTTCCTTGGAGGGTAACTAAGTAAGGGATTACTTTTTTAAAGAAGTAACGACAACACTACTTTTTAGACGCTTTTATCCAAAGCGACTTACATACTCAATACTGAGGACAATCCCCACAGGAGCACTTTGGGGTGAAGTGTCTCATCGACATGCTGACTGCAGTGGGGTTTGAACCTGTGACCCCCTTATCCCAACACCAACGCACAACCCACTGCGCCACACGCCTCCCAGTGAGTTGAGATTGACTTCAGAGGATCACTATGAGCACAGAGGGTCTAACAGCAGGGATTGCATCGCTTGACGTTGATTTTGATCGGTATTTCTTGCATTTAAAATCATAAATGGATTCCCTTCTGCTTCTGGTTTTGCTATCGCTTTCCTTCAGAGCTCTGTAGATCGTACAGCGTCAAAATAAACCCCTTGCACAATGTTTTAGCTTGTTTGTCATGTGGCTGTGTAAGATAAGATAAGAAGTACTGTATTGATCCCACGTTGGGAAATGTTTGTGTTGCAGCAATATAAAAATACATGGCATTCTACAATTACAATTAAAAGACAAGCAAAACACATTTTAAAATGTCAACATCTCAATAGCAATAAAATAGCATTTACAGTGACAACATATAAAGCAGGATATTATATATACATAAGTATGTGAGTAATGGAATATTAAATATTAGATTTGATATAAATATGAAATGTACAATGTGGTTTAGAGCCCCGTTGTCTAAGTAGCTATGGAGCAGAGAGTTCTCCTCAGTTGATGCTCTCCTCTCTTCCTCCATACTCTGAGGGTTTCTCCCCTGTTTGATTGACCTGCAAAGACGTGTGTGTGTGTGTGTGTGTGTGTGTGTGTGTGTGTGTGTGTGTGTGTGTGTGTGGCCTAGCATTACTATACTTGTGGGGACCTACATCTGTTTACATAGTCACGTGTGGGGACTCGCCTCCCTTATGGGGACAAATTGGAGGTCCTCATAAGGGGAATGATTAATTTTAGGGTGAAGACTTGGTTAGGGTTAGGATTAGGATTAGGGTTAGGGTAAGGGTTAGGGTTAGGCATGTGTTGGTTATGGATAAGTCTCCAGGAAATGCATGTAAGTCAATGTAATGTCCCCTGAAGTGATGTATATGTGTGTGTGTGTGTGTGTATATATATGTGTGTGTGTGTGTGTGTGTGTGTGTGTGTGTGTGTGTGTATGTATGTGTGTGTGTGTGTGTGTTTAGAGGTAGGGGGATGGATTGGGGGTCATTGTGTTGAACATGTGTGTAGTTGTATGAGTGAGGATGCAATGACTTGTGTTGATAACCGTTTTTAGTTTTGTTCTTTCATTTTCTTATTAACTTTTTAGAAATATTACAATTATTTTACATGATAACATATTGACTGTAGGGTAGACTGACCCTCACTCACTCAAGTTTAATGTAATTCCCCCCCCTGTAGTGCGGACTAGTTTTATTGCCATTGAGTTCAAGTCAAGATCCGCTAAAGAAAGCAGGAAGAAATAAATGAGGAACAGTAGAAGGAGAAGACACTTTTTCCCACAACTGAACATTTTATGAAAGACACACGCTTTGAGAAGGATGTACATGTGAGTTCAGAATCAGAATCAAAATACCTTTATTCGTCCCACAGAGGGGACATTAACATGTGTGACAGAAGAAAAGAGCCAAAGACAGATTAAAGGCTCCATGTCACGGCCATTTCTACTGATCATAATTCCATCGTTGAGGTCTACTAGAATAGATTTATATTGTTCAATGTTCCAAACTCTCATTGGTTTCTCATACAGCATCTCTGTATAGTATGTGTATTCACTCTGTCCTACACAGCTTGTTGGAGCTCCTGCCCCCCCCCCCTCCCTGTGAGCCCAGTGTGCTCTGATTGGTCAGCTCGCCCACTCTGTTCTGATGAGTCCACCACCGTTACAGCAGAACATCAGTGTTTATGTTTTACAATAGCGTTTGTTAGCAACCAGGAAATGACACCAGTAATGACAAACGGATGAGAATGCTGCGTGGGGTCTGGGTGCCGTGTTGGCGGGACGTTGCGGGGCTCGCTGCTCCGCCCTTTGAGGCTCGAGGAGCGGACAGTGTGAGCTGGATTACTGGTGTCGTTTCCTGGTTGCTGCGTGGGGTCTGCGAGACAGCGAGACACCGTGAATGGACGCGGGAAGGGGGGGTGCTGAGGGGGCTGCAGCACCCCCATCTGCGAGGCTCCACTAGCAATAAAAAATGTATATATATATATTGCACATATTGCATAGTTGTTGCTCTAATGCCATGTTAATGTCATTTAGACTCTATGCATTACATTAATGCACACAATGTTGACAATATCTGTTTTTTTTACTGCACATATTTTAAATTTTATTCCATTCTATTTCAATGTAAATACTGCTTTTTTATTTTACTATATTTTTTCTTATTTTCTTTTTTATGTTATTATAGTTTTCTTAAAATAATTCTCTATCTGTGTTTTTAGATTGTTGTTTTACTTTTATGTATGCACCACGACATCAAGTCAAATTCCTCGTGCGTGTCGACCTACCTGGTGATAAACCTGATTCTGATTTGTTTTCCCCGCAGTGTGGACCTGCTGACCTTCAAGTGAAGCTGTGACAGAAACCAGGAGCAGAAGAAAGAGTCAACCTTTTTTCCTCGCCCTTCGTCTTCCTCCACCTTCCTCTCTGCGCTGCATCGTCTCCACAGCTTCAGCAGGATGAAGCTGAAGGAGGACCTGAGCCCCGTGCTGCTGCTGGTCTTCCACCTCGCGGTCTGGATCTACTCCTTCCTCTCCTTCCTGCCCTCAGTCTTCCTCGGCTGGATGTCCACGCTCGATGATGATGATGGTGTTCGCTACGGCTCAGAGGAAGACAGAGCCAAGAGGATGAAGGCCTGCTCGGAGCCGGGACGTCCCGAGGGCCCCTATCGAGCCGTGAGGGCCACAAAGAGACTGGAGGCCACGCTGCGCCCGGGTGTTCAAACCCTGGATAAGATGTTCGAGTTAGCAGCCCGGAGGTTTCCACACAGACACTGCCTAGGGACCAGAGAGGTGATCAGTGAGGCGGACGAGAGGCAGGGCAACGGGAAGCTGTTCAAGAAGGTAACTTTAGATGCGGAGGAAACAGGTTTATTACAAGGTAGGTTGATACGATACAATAATACTTCAGTGGTCAGATCAAGCCTTCAGCGTGCATCTGATCTGGATTCAGCTCTGTATTTACTGTGAGGATCGACTGGAGCTCAAAGGATGCTTCAGGCTGACTTTATTCAATCTCCCATTAGATGGTAGCAGTTCATATTCTCTGCTCAGAACATGCTTTGGGTCCCAGATGATGGACAGCTCACCAGGTTATTATGGCAGTGGCGAACCGTCAGGGCCTTCAAGGTATTCAAAGAATACCCAGGAACATTCAGATAAAACAAACAAAAAATCGATTTAATTATATAAATAAAATGTAATAACATTTATATAAAATGAATAAATGAGAATGGTATCTGTGTTGTTGATCTGTAATATAACAGTGTTACGTTGATCTGTTTCTCCTTCTCGGACCATGCTCTACGCATTTCAGTGGTTTTGTGTTAGAAAAGAAAGCAACCAATCAGATCTCGTTCTGGGTCTCTGGGTAGAATATCCTTCACCAAGGTATTCTACATCCTTGATCGAATGCCCTGGCCGTTGCACTGAATGAGAGCGTACGTTTGGACTGACAGTTTGATCAACCAATCATATATTGATTTGTAGCCAATGGGCGTGTTCTTTCAGAGTTCCCCTCGGTTTCAGGGTGTTCTAGAGGCCCGCTAGTTAACTGGCTCGAGACAGAGGATCTAGATGAATGCGACGAAGCAATTCATGCCGTTTTATTGTTTTTAACGTTGAAATGGCAACGTTAAAAACAGGGTTAGGGGTTACAACAAGATGAAGTTGTTGTGGAATTGTTGTGAGTACCCTTTTCAAGACGACAATTCAGTGAAAAGACGGACATTATAATGCCGGAGGGGGGGGGGGAGTGTGTCTACAGAAGGTCCAGTTGTGATAGACACGGTTCGCCACTGTTAATTATGGAATGGTATTATGGACATGTACGAGGAATTTGACTTGGTGTTGTGGTGCAAACATAAAATTAAAACAAAAATAGAAAACACAGATAGAAAACTATTTTATTTTGTCAAGATATAAACTGAAAAACTGAGACAACACACATTTAATTCAAGTCAACAGCAAGTTTTCTCTGTGTATTTTGGAGCAGTGATGACGTGTTTTTTGGCTGATTTTGTAAGTTAGCATCACAAGGGCTCCCTTTACAAAAAGCCAAGGGGATTTTGCATTTGCTTTGCTTTCCACATTCTATCATTCTAGCTCCTTGAATGCAAATATTGGTACTTGTGGGTTATCTGTCGCCACTTTTTAAAAGCGGGTATCTGGCTCCTCCATATTCTCAAAATAACAAACATTAATCCTAGGGGTTAGGGTTTCATTTCATTTCATTTGTATTTGTCCCGCTCATGGTACGCATACCCAAATGTACAATAATTGCCAACAAAACATGTCTCTATAAACCCACCAAAAAGGAAAGGAGCAGGGAGAAGAATAACATCTTATATGACCCGCCCCTTTCTCAAAAAAACTAAATAAATACAAATAGATGGGTATACCCTTCATAATAAAAAGAAATGTTCACAGCCACACATAACAGTACACCCTCATCCGAGTCCTACTGGAGAAGAAGGTGGAAAGTGACGCCTAATAATAATAATAACAACAACAATAACAATAACAATGGGACCTGGGGGGTATACTACGAAGCAGGATTTTCGCTTAGCGGCTAAATTCAGGGAAAACTCCGGCTTTCCGGTCCTACGAAGCTGGTTCTCTTTTTAGCAGGCTCGATCTCCATGGTAACTTATGCTTAGCGGCTAACCTGGTCAGGACCAGGTCAGGTTGCAGGCTAAGAGATCAACTCAGTGAAAGCACTGCCTGCTGACCAATCAGAGCTCAGTGTGCGGAGTTTAAAGCGATCAAGTCATATTACAGGAGAAAGGAAATACAGAAAAGCTGCCGTTGCAGGAAAGACCGCCGGCAAAAATCACCGACTGTGTGAACGTGAACATTAATAGAATATCCCCTCCCATCTTCAGAGCAATCTGACTATTATAACATTAGCGTTAAGAAAGCTTACTTAAATATCTGCCACAACATAAGTAACCGGATCAGAGTAACATTAAGTACAGTCCGCGGCATATCACTTCATAATGTATCATATATCTCCTTATCTGAGTCAGCTGAGCCGTATCTGGCCGTGCAACACTCACAGTGTCACAGACTGTATGCAGAAGTATTATTTTAAGCAACACATTAAGTTGACGAAACACTCGAGACAAATGTAATTAAAGTCAGATGGTGTTTTAGACGGGGCAGTGATATCATAAACCTGTTAATGTACGCATTCAAACACTTTTTCTTTTGCCAGCTGTATTCACCTTGCAGGTGCAGCTCTGGGGCTTTGATCCTGGATCAAGTGTTTAAGTCATGGATGTTTAAAGTTTAACTTCTTGATTTTTGACTAGTATTAAAGTTCACTTTTCATTCAGGAAGTACGCTTCTCCATGTTTGTGATTGGTCGAATGCTCCAGATACCACCCCTTTCATGTGAACGCGCACCTAACTAGATAGGACGCGGCTGGCTTGAGCGATCCACTTGATAACCAGCGTCGTAGTACCGTTTAGCGAGAGCGCGTATGTTTTGGATTAGGCCAACCGGCTAACTCAAACATATCCAGGTTAGGTTTAACCAGCTTCGTAGTACAGGCCCCTGCACATAAAGAGCAGACATCACATCAAAGACATCAACAACTTTTAACAATGCAGGACCAGAGTACATAGACTTATTCACATTCTTCATATAGTCCCATCTTTCTTCATTTATACAATTTCTTTAACTGAAAAATACAATTCTTTAGATCCTTTTGTTGAGAGTTCCACAATTGGAATTTGGTTAATTAGAGAGTCTGAAAAAAACTGAAAAAGTGGCGACAGATAACCCAAATATTTCCTGGCTCTTCATACCTCTATGACAGGGGGGTCATCACACAGTGGGCCAACATAAAAAAGTGGGTACTAGTGGAGGGCCGGACTGGTTCAATGTTTATTGCAGAACTTATTGAAATGAACTTATTGCACATATTAAACCTGGAACTAACAAAGCTTCAATGATTGCCTATAAAAACAACATTAAATAATCAGCTGCATTAATTTCTTATGGCTCTATCTGCAGCTTTTCCAGAGTCATTTCTTATGAGTACATTTTCCCACAGGCCAACAACAGCTTCAACAAAACTATTCCCCTCAGAGAGAAAACCAAACATGCCCTGTTGTCGTGAGAGACAAAGTGCAGAAGGAAACATCCATTAAACTCAGTGTGCTGCTCTGTGATGCTAGCTCAGATACTTGGCATCTCATCTTGGGTGCAAGGTCATCAATGTTTGGGGTCAGGCTCTGAGCGGAGGAGACCCTCAGGATGGAGTGAAGGTGTGCTGCAATATACCGGCGGGCCAGATCTAATAGGAATTAGAAATTATCCTGCGGGCCGAAATGAAATTATTTTGCTAATATTGCAAGACATTTGTAGATGTAATCTAAGTCTGTAGGAACCAGTGATTCACTGTCTTTTCTTTTACAATTGTCTGCCTTTTTTTTTTTAGACAAAACAACTAATTAATTAACCCCGAAACTATTTCTTATTTGTTGACTGCGGCTCTACCTGCAAGTTATTTCAGACCTCAGTGTTAAAGTGGCAGAGCTCTATATTATAACTATCATAACAGTGTTTCCTGTGTGTTTTGGACCGTGGACTTTTACAGTTACAGTTCCTCTGCATTACTCTAATCCCCACAGCCTGACGCTGTTAATCCTTTTAAACCTCACTGTTGAAAGTTTTAATGCTGCAGGAGAACTTGTCTAAGCTCCTTTGTTCCCTGAAAATGGAAAGCAGTTCTGTCCATTCATCATTATAGTGTTTCTGAGTGTACTGGCACAGATTCACCACCAGGAGCCAGTATAACCTCACTCACACACACACACACACACACACACACACACACACACACACACACACACACACACACACACACACACACACACACACACACACACACATACCATGTATACATCACTTCAGGGGACATTACATTGACTTACATGCATTTCCTGGAGACTTATCCTAACCTTAACCATAACCAACACATGCCTAACCCTTAACCTAACCCTAACCAAGTCTTCACCCTAAAATGAATGATTCCCCTTATGGGGACCTCCAATTTGTCCCCATAAGGGAGGCGAGTCCCCACACGTGACTGTGTAAACAGGTTTAGGTCCCCACAAGTATAGTAATGCTAGACCACACATACACACACACACACACACACACACACACACACACACTCACACACACACTACCTGTTGGCGTAAGCACAGATGTATTTAATGTATTTTTACTCATTTAGTTTATAACATTAGTTCCTTTCAGATTAAGAAAAGATTAAACCAATGAAACAGCTGAACAAAAAAGTAAAATGTTTTCGAATATATTACAAAAATGTCCAAATGAAGTCCTGAATATCAATACTGTGTGTATCAAAACAGTACCATTCTAACTAAAGCAACAATCTGATAATGACATATAAATAGTAATACTCCACCAGTTATGTAAAGTTCACTTTTAACAAACTGCATAACAAATAAAGTGAGGTACGAACAAGTACAATTACCCAATACATGTAAAAAATGTGCAACAAAAAGTCCTTAAGATCAACTTGTGTAACAGGACTTTAATTGTGTACATTCGTAAAATGCTACCTGATGCTGCATTATTTAAAGTCTAATAATGTCATAAATACAATGATGTTTAAGCTAGTGAAATAACAGTTTGAGGTTCAAAAAGGTCACATATTTCAACATTTAAGAAAGAATGATTGAGTCGGTTGCCAATAGCAACAACTCCACTCATTGTTTTAGTATTTTTTTGGTCAAAATCCAGTTCTAGCTTCTGAAGATTTGCTGCTTTTCCTTTTACATTATGTTTTACTTTTACTACCAATACTTTAAATTAGGGCCGGGACTTTAACGCGTTAATTAAGATTAATTAATTACACAAAAAATTAACGCGTTAAAAAAATTAACGCATTTTAATCGCACTTATTTTTGCACCGCGGAACGTTTCTCACTGGATGAGTTTCAGGCGTACCGATTATACTGGAGCACCAACTAACGTTCATGACTTCAGACAACAACAAACCACAGTGAACAACAGTGGGAAATGTTGTTTTAAAAAACGGACGGATGGAAGCGTCGATATATCGGGAATTCGCATATCACCGCAGCACATCAAGCCTCAAGTATCACCTCAATGCAAAACATATAGCAGCTAGCGTGGAAGCTAGCGTGGACGTTAGCCTCTTTTATCGCGTTCACACCAAAAAGAGCCGGTACTAAAATTAGTTAATGAGAACCTTTTTACCCCCACGAAAGTCCCTGCTAGAGAGCAGAGAGCTGCTAGAGAGCAGGGACTTTCGTACGGCTCTCTTGTGAGAAAAGAGCTATATGTCTGATTGGCTGGGCGGATTGCAAACCACGCCCCGTAAAACTCCCAAACAGTTTTGTGAAGCCGCCATTTTATTATCCTCGCATTAGCATTGTTAGCATTAGCCCAGCGCAGAAACGCAGAGAGACTAACTTATGGCAACACAAAATAAAACATGGGAGTGGTGGAGATGAGGAGGTGTCGGCGTTCTGGCTATTTACTCGGAAGGCTTCAGTAGAAGCTGCTGGGAGTCCCAGCAGCTTTTACTGAAGCCAGTCCCCACTCCTGGGACTTCCGGCCGGGGACTTTGGGCGGCAGTATACGCCGTGAAGTGGTTTGCGGCCTGCCAGTAAACCCAAAGCAGAAGAAGAAGAAGTGACGTCGGCGGCTTCATTGCCTAATCCTCCCCCAGGTTCAAAGAGTTCTCATGAACTAAATTCTCATGAACCTTTGTGGGAAAAGTACTGCGGTGTGAATGTGCCTAATGGTATACTAAAATCCATGTGAAAAAAATTGCTTCTCACTGTTCTTAGGTCAAATATTTATATGTGATTAAAAATGCGATTAATTTCGATTAATTAATTACAAAGCCTCTAATTAGATTAATTTTTTTAATCGAGTCCCGGCCCTACTTTAAATACATTTTCCTGATAACACTTGAATAGGTTTTCTAAAGTACAATTCTAAATACTTTTACTTGTAATGTCTTTTTACGGTGTAGTATTCGTATCTGTACTTAAGTAAAGTATTTGAATACTTTTCCACCTCTGCTAACTTTCAAAATAAGAGAGAATCCTTCAATGTTATTTTCTTTCATTAGAGAAATTATTGTGTATCCTAATTTAAAGGTCCCCTATCATACTGTTTTGCATCAATATATTATAGGTCTCAGCCAAACATGTGTTGTAATCATGATTAACTAAGCATGACTTTGTCATCACTTCATCATGTTTGTGCCCCTTCAAATAAAGTGGTGACCCGGTCGGTCGGTCATAGCAGTGCATGTATTCTGTTGAATTCAAAGTGTTGACCCCAACCCTGTTCAGTGTGTTGACGTTTATCAGTGTAAACGATGGAACAGGGGGGTATACTACGAAGCTGGTTCAACCTAACCTGGATATGTTTGAGTTAGCCGGTTGGCCTAATCCAAAACATACGCGCTCTCGCTAAACTGTACTACGACGCTGGTTATCAAGTGGATCGCTCAAGCCAGCCGTGTCCTATCTAGTTAGGTGCGCGTTCACATGAAAGGGGTGGTATCTGGAGCATTCGACCAATCACAAACATGGAGAAGCGCACTGACAGCGCAGCGTCATACTTCCTGAATGAAAAGTGAACTTTAATACTAGTCAAAAATGAAGAAGTTAAACTTTAAACATCCATGACTTAAACACTTTATCCAGGATCAAAGCCACATAGCTGCACCTGCAAGGTGAATACAGCTGGCAAAAGAAAAAGTGTTTGAATGCGGACATTAACAGGTTTATGATATCACTGCCCCATCTAAGACACGATCTGACTTTAATTACATTTGTCTCGAGTGTTTTGTCAACTTAATGTGTTGCTTAAAATAATACTTCTGCATACAGTATGTGACACTGTGAGTGTTGCACGGCCAGATACGGCTCAGCTGACTCAGATAAGAAAATATATGATACATTATGAAGTGATATGCCGCGGACTGTACTTAATGTTACTCTGATCCGGTTACTTATGTTGTGGTAGATATGTGGTAAGTGTTCTTAACGCTAATGTTATAATAGTCTGATTGCTCTGAAGATGGAGGTGATATTCTATTAATGTTCACGTTCACACAGTCGGTGATTTTTGCCGGCCGTCTTTCCTGCAACGGCAGCTTTTCTGTATTTCCTTTCTCCTGTAATATGACTTGATCGCTTTAAACTCCGCACACTGAGCTCTGATTGGTCAGCAGGCAGTGCTTTCACTGAGTTGAGCTCTTAGCCTGCAACCTAACCTGGTCCCGACCAGGTTAGCCGCTAAGCATAAGTTACCATGGAGATCTAGCCTGCTAAAAAGATAACCAGCTTCGTAGGACCGGAAAGCCGGAGTTTTCCCTGAATTTAGCCGCTAAGCGAAAATCCTGCTTCGTAGTATACCCCCCAGGTCACCACTTTATTTGAAGGGGCACAAACATGATGAAGTGATGACAAAGTCATGCTTAGTTAATCATGATTACAACACTTGGAATTGCTGTGACTGGTCAGTTTTTTGGCCTGACACTTTAATTGCAGATCTATATGAAGAAGACATGAACATCATTAATAACTCAGAAGTAGTGATGATTGAGATACCTTAGTTGATGCATTCATTAAGGTATTGTTCCTGCATTAAGTCATGCATGAGATACCATTAATACCTGTACATTACTGATAGTTCATGAAGTACTACATGAATGAATTCATGCTTTTTCATGCATTAAGTCATGAATGACTTCATGATGATTCATGTACCCTTACCGTAAAGTGTTACGATAATAGGTGACATTTTTTTCATGAGAGCAATGCTTGTGTATCCTAATTGAACTGTTCCACCTGCAGGTGATTCTGGGAGAGTACCGCTGGCTCTCCTATCAGGATGTTTTCTCGGCGGCGTCTCAGCTCGGCAGCGGATTGGCGTCTCTGGGTCAGCGCCAGAAAAACAACATAGCCATCTTCTGTGAGACCCGGGCCGAGTGGATCGTCGCGGCCCAGGCCTGCTTCATGCACAACTTCCCCGGTGAGTGTCTGTGAGCACAGAAAACACTCAGAGGAGGGAAATAATGTTTTTCTTCATAAAAAGGGCTTCAAATTATTAAAAAAAACTGCAGTACAGGTGGATCATAGTATAGGTAAGCAAACCAAGTGTATCAATACAGCACTAGTTAATTCAAGGTGCTTCATAAAAAACACATAACAAGCATTAATACGTTATCTATTTTTTTAATATTTATCATTATTATACTGGTTATAGTTTGACTAATACCACAGTTATTGTATTCATTGGTGTGACGAGAGGTGACAGTGTTTGACATTTCCTGTCCATATTATTAATAATGAAGAAGTCCAGAAGACCCAGGAATAAATGTATCTCAGGTAAAACAAAAAAAACGAATGTCATTTGTATTATATGTGTAAAGAATAAAACATATGCACAAAAAAAGAACAGGAAGGCATAATAAAGAAAATAAAATGACATTCAGAAACAGAGATTGAAAAGCCAAGAGAAAGCAAATGAAAACTAATAGGACAGGTTTTAAATGCAAGAAGTGACCCTATAATGTGAGATACTAAAAGTTATCTGATTTAATAGAAGGCAGCAGCAGCACATTAAAACGAAACACAACATGTGGCTTTTGTCCTCAGTGGAAATGTTAATATGATTTATTCCCGAGACAAATGACTCCGCGGTGATCAACCGTGACCGAAACTGACATGTGGGTGGAGGCGCTTATTCAAGTGAATACTTAATATACTAAGTCTACAGGGATTGGACAATTATTATAGTTCACTAATATGCTCCTCTCAAAAAAGCCTCCAGTTTCCATTGAAAACACTCTTCATTCAAACTCCATGAAAACAAAACATACCTCATCAAAACTGTCTTTGTGTTTTTCTGCGCCGTTCAAACAATTATCAATAGAGGGTTTTGAGAGTTTTGAAAGAGACGAATAAGCACTGATATAAAAAAGGAATATAACACTGTCCACTGTTTAGTAACCCTCTTTCAGGGGGGGGGGG